CTCACTCTGTAGCCCAGGCTGGCCTCAAACTCACAGAGATCTGCCTGGCTCTGCCTCCCGAGTGCTGGGATTAAAGGCATGTTCCACCACCACCTAGCTTAGCAAGTCTTATAAAGGAAAACGTTTAATTGAGAGTGGCTTACAGTTTCAGAGGTTTAGTCAATTATCATCATCATGGCAGGATATGGCGGCGGACAGGTAGACATGGTGCCAGAGAAGGAGCTGAGGGATCTACATCTTGATCCACAGGCAACAGGAAACACCTGTGACATTGGGCATGGCTTAAGCATAGGAGATCTCAAAGCCCACCCCCACAGTGACATACTTCTCCAACTCGGCCACACCTCCTTCAAAAAGGCCACACCTCCTAATAGTGCCACCTCCTATGGGGGCCATTTTCTTTCAAACCACCACAGAGTCCAAAACGTGTAATTCTTCTATCTTGTGGACCACTAAACATTTGGGTGAAGACTTTTTCTAGAACCATCTAATCTTGGGCTTCCTGAACCAGGGCAATTTTCTGAGGCTGCACACACTTGACATGTTGAGAGGTTTACAGCACTCAGCCCTAGAAACAGCAGTGTGCACCTGCCCTCGCGAGGGTCAGTTCTCAGCCCTGAGACTGGGCACGAACAGGACTCATCACCCTGCTTTTCTGTCTTTGTGTCACACTGACTAAAAGCAGAGAACCCCACACATGTGGGAAATAGATGCAAGGTGCTGTGAGTGCAGAGGGTGTAGCTGTCAGGGCCCTGTTGGAAGACAGATTAAAGCCCATTCTCACTGGTATGGGTGGACTTGGGGGCTGTGCCCATGGGCCAAGGAACCCCCTCTAAAGGTGAAATACCAAGAGTTGAGGGGAATGTGCAAGTAGGTGCTTGGCTGTGAGAGGCAAGGGGCACCTTGCCATCTGGGTAGTGGGATCTTAGGGTGGAAGCTTTGTTGCTTGCTTCCTGGGGCCTCACACACCAACATACCCCAGGTGACAGGACCAATAGGAACAGAGCACCTGGGTCGGAAGGGGAGGTGTCGAGTGCTAAGAGTAATCATGACGTAAGTGTAGTCTTCAGGGAGATGTCAGTGTTGACCCCTCACCAGCGGAGTAGGTGCTGAGTGCGTCTGCTCTTTCCAGCAGTGACTAATCTGCACACACCATCCAGCTGCAGCGCACAGGAAAGGAGGGGATGGAGGCCTTGGATTCAGTTACATCCTGGTCTGCATCCTGACTGAGGTGTTTATTAGTGCATCCTAAATCCTCTGCCTCCCTGAATCTCAATTTCCCTCTATGTGTCATGGGGCTAAAACCTTTTATGGCTTTCAATTTATTTTATTATTGTGTGGTATATGTATGTTTATGTGTTTTGTTGCACATGTGTCGATGTATGCAAAGATGTGCATGTGTGTGCATGTGTATATGGTGGCAAGAGGTGAACATATGTTTATTTTCTTAGTTGTTTTCCATGCTGTTTTTTAATTAGGTTGTATTTATTCACTTTTTTTTATTTGTTTGTTTGCTTGCTTGTTTATTGTGTGTTGTATATGCACATGAGCAGATACAATATCAAAGTCAGAAAATAGCCCTAGGGAGTTGATTCTCCCTTCCCACTTTTACATGGGTTCCAGAGATCAAACTCAGGTTGCCAGGCATGCCTGGCAAGTACATTTACCCACTGAGCCAGCCCACTGGCTCGCTCCACCTTAGTTTTTGAGACAGGGTATCTCACTGGTACCGGAGCTTACTGATCTGGCTAGGGCGGCCAGGGATCTTGCTGGATCCTCCTGTCTCCATTCTCTACCCCCTATCTGCAATTACAGATATGTGCTGCCATGCCTAGATTCTGCCCAGATAGTGGAGATTCGAACCCAGGTTTTCATGTTTGCACAGCAAATGCTTTACCAACTTAGCTATTTCCTTAATTGGCTTAAAAACAAAACAAAAAACAGCAGCAGCAGCAGCAGCAACAACAACAAAAAACCAGTGTAGAGAAGGTCTATAACATACACCGTGGGCACTCAGCACAGGTTAGTGTGGATGACTGACTGGTATAAGAGAGTGAAGGATATCTAACTATGAGTCCCGAAATTAACCACCCACCTGAACTTTAACCTTGACCTTCACAGAATTCTCTCTGGCCATCTAAACCAGGCGGGCACCTAACTGTGTGTGCTCAGCTTTCACAAACATTTGGTTCAAAGATCTGAATCAACCTCAGTGTTTTATTCTGGTGGCAATTAGCAACTCCTAAGTCACGTTATAAATCCAGTTTGCATGTGCCACATTGAGACAGGGCTGGCATTACAGAACTCAATTCTGGCAGGTAACCATTGCAGTCACCCAGTGGAGCTGCAGCCTGGTAATGGAAAAGTGTTTCATTTTAACTATGAAATTTAACACAAAGAATACAGCTGCTCAGCCGCGCACTGACAGTGTATGTTAATTTGATTTATAGACATGCAATGTACCGTGCCTAATATCCAATGCTGGAAGACTTCAGTAAGCCTAATACTAGCATCGTAAATGAGAGACAACCATTATGGGTTAGCTTCACATGTGTGAGCACACCTCCTTCTAGCACTGGAAACAGCCGAGCCACTTTGCACAAGAGAAACAAGAAGTTCGCCTGTGAGGGTGGGTAAGCACTGGGCTTTCTCACCCAGGTCACGGCTTGTCTGGAAGTAGTCCTTGGGCTTCGTACCATGTGTCTGACCATTGGCACATTTACAACCGTCGTCTCAAGTAAATCAGGTCTGTGGAGTGGAAACTGGCTTAGGGTTCCCATTTGGTTTAAGGCGTAAGTATCTTGGAGATCACACTCCAGTTTTTCCATAAAGGCAAAGAGGAGAGAGATCCCCTGCTCTCTCAGTCCATCAAGGATTCGGAGGAGCAAATACACACTTCCGTTGATGGCCATGTGGACTGCACATGAGGAAAAAAAAAGTCTCCTTGGGATATGTGCTTTGTGTAGGGTGTTATATGTGTTGTACATACCGGGTGTTGTGTGGTGGATTATGTATATGTTGTGTACACTCTATGTTGTGTGTGTTGTGTATTCTGTATGTATGTTTATTCCCAGTGGGTTCATCAGAAGGTCTACTGCTCACATTCACTTGGGACAAACACTGTTGGAGGGATCTAGACTAACCCTGGTCACTTTCCCTCTTCACTCTTGTTTTGGTTACACTGTGGCATGTCCCCCATATAGCTCATGTATTTGAACACTTGGTCCTTAGGTGTTGGCACTATTTGTGGAGGTTGTGAACTGTTTGGACATGGAGCGTCACTGGCAGATGTAAGGCTATAGGGATGGGCTTTGAAGGTTATAGGGCTGGCCTCACTTGCTCTCTGCTTCCTAACTAGGGACCTGATGGAACCAGCTGCCTGCTCCTTGATCCTGCTGCTGTAGCCTCCAGTGGTTCTTGCTGTGTGTTTTCCTTGCTATGGTGAGCTGTGATCTCCCAAAACCCATGAGCAAGACTGAATCCCTTCCCATTTAATTTGCTGCTTTCATGTATTTTATTACAGCAACACATAAGCAACTAATTCAACTGTTCTATGTGATAGTAAAAGCAGTGTATTAGAGGAGAGAAAATATTAAAAGTAGAGGGCAAAAATCAATCATATTCTTCCAGCTCCTATATTAGGATGCTGCTAATTTGAGAATTTTACAATGTTTATCCCCACGAAGACAGGAGAATATTTGTACTTACAGGTAAGTACATATTTTTATGATAACTTCTCATATTAAATTGCTACGGAGTCTTCATAATTGTTGTGCTTAACGTCTATGTGGTATTCTATCCAGCGCTGCTTCATGACCTAGGAGTATGATGTTGTACTTATGTGACTGTCCAGATTTCTGGGTAATAGCAACAGTCTGAAAGTGGCTTGAATTGCCCATCTCTTGGGGGCAGGGCAGAGGGTCAGATTGGCATTCCTATACATCTGTTTGGGCCTTTTCTCAAGGTCCTGCATGGGGGCTGGTGTGGCAAGCACTGGGATGGGTTCTCAGTTGCTAATACTACCAGTCTACTCTCTAATACC